CGGGGTGGGGTGGGGGGGCGTTGCAGGGGATGCTGAGGGGTTTGCTTGGGGTGCTGGGGACATCGGTGCTGAGGGGGTTGTATGGGTGCTGGAACCGTTGTTTGGGATATTGGGGGGCTTGTAGGGGTGCTGGAGCCATTGCATGGGTGCTGGTGGGGTTGTAGGGGTTCTGGAGCCTTTGCATGGGTGCTGGGGGGCTTGTAGGGGTGCTGGGGACTTGCAGGGAGCTCTGGAGGGATTGCAGGGGTGCTAGAGCAGCCCAGTGCTGGGCCTGGGGTCCTGGGGAGGGGGAGCTGGATGCCAATAGGATGGGGTGGGGGCTGGGTGTGGGGATGGGTGGGTTGGAGCTGGCAGTGGGGTGAGATTGGTGGGAGCACCCCAGGGTGCATCCTCCGATGGCCTTTGCTGGGGAGTCACAGGCCACGCTATGGCCCCAGCCCCCTCCCCAGCCCCAGCCTGCTGAGCTCCCTGGCCAGCACCCCCTCCCCATCTACTCGGGACCAAGAACCTCCACATCACCCTCACCCTGCACCCATGGGCCCAGCACTGCGCTGGATCAGGCCCCAAGCCCGCACTGAGGGCCAGGGCTGCCCCCAGCCCCCCACAGCCCATCCAAAGTTGGTGCCAGCGGTCCTGGGGCTCGGTGCTCCCCACAATTAGGGATCCCGGGGGTCCTGCACCCTCCCAGCCCCACCCAGACCCCGTGGGTGCCATCCCAGGCTTTGGCCCCACAGCACCTGTGGGACGTGACCCGGTGCCAGTTTCAGCCCGGCCATACTTAGCCTCTGCCCTTTCCCGGCTGTAACACGACCTCGTCAGCGGCCACCGGCTCGTTTGGCCACTGGATGCCCCATCCCAGCACCCCGTCCAGCCGGTTTGGGGTGACGCACTGCGGCCAAGCAGGTTGGGTGCTGCGGGGCTGGGTGCGGGCAGGCAGGGTGGCCAAAATCACCCCCACCCCCCAAGGTGATGGGGGTGCAATGGGGTGCTACAAGCCCCCCCTTAAGTCACCCCCCCAAAAACCAGCCCGTGGGGAGCTAGGGGGATGCTGCCTGCATCACTTGGTGTCCTGGTGACACTGGTCAACCCAAGCTGGTTTCCAGCTGCCAGGCGGCACCCCAGGCACGGGGATGTGGTCAGGGCACGGGAGGAAGCCGGTAACGTCACCGCGCGTCACCCGGCATGGGGAAGCCCTCACCGCAGCCGGATGGGGCAGGTGGCTGCCGGGAGCCAGGTAGGTGATGGCCATGGGAGCAGAGGTCCTGAGGTCCCTATTTTAGGGCCAAGCCAGGGGTCGGGTCTTCCAACGGCAGAGTGGAAGACCTGACCCCCGGCTTGGCCATGGAGCTGGGCACCAGCATGGCAGGGAAGGGAGAGCCGTTGTCTCCCTGCACCCCAGCCTTGGGGACCTGTGTGTCTCAGCTGTGCTATTATTCATCCTACTCTTCTCTCACAGCCTGAAGTGCTCCTGTGCCTGGTCTGCGGCAGCATGTCGACAGGTGAGTGCTCCGTCCCACTTGCATCCATCCCCTTTGTATGCATCCCCTTGGTCCTCCCGCATCTGCCCCCTCCTGCATCCATCCCCTCAATCCCCTTTGCATCCATCCCCCCTGCATCAATCCCCCTGCATCCATCCCCTCCTGCATCCCCCTGTCCCCCTTGTATCCATCCCCCCTGCATCTGCCCCCTCCATCCCCCCTGCCTCTGTCCTCCTTAGGCACATCCCCTCCATCCCCCGTGCATCCCTCCCATTTGTCGTTTGCATCCATCCCCTCAGTCCCCTTTGCATCCCTGTCCTCCATCCCCCTTCCATCCCTCCCCTGTGTCCCCTCCTTTCCTCCCTCGCCTCTGTCCATCCCCCATGTCCCTCCAGCCCCCCACGTGCCCCATGTCCCCTCTGTCCCCGCCAGCCACTTGGCTCCTTCCCCAGCCCTGGGGATCGCCGGGTGCCGGAGGAGTTGAAATTTCAGCTGGCTGTAATCAGGAGATGGGAGAGTGGCCCCAGAGCAGCTCGGCTTTATTTTTAGCTCTGCCTCCCCCCGCGGCATCGCACCCCAGCATCGTCCCATGCCGCGGCCGGGCCAGATCCTGCAGGTGGTGCGGGACCCTGCTCCTGGGTGCTCAGCAGGGGACAGGGCTGTTAGTGCCACCTGCACATCGGCCACCAGGTCCAGGGACCGATGCTGGGGTTTGGGGACTGCCGGGGGTTGCGCCAGGCGCTTGAGGTGTCTGTGCCAAGCCGAGCCTGCCACAGCCCCTGGTAGCCCGCCGAGGTGACAAGCCGGCCGCAGGGATGGATGTGGCCGGTCCCCGCCCGCGGTGGAGCTGTGGACAGTGACTGTCTCCGGGACACCACACAGCAGTGGGATTCCAGCCCCATGGCTGAGGCGCCATGGGGTCTTTGTGCTCAGCCACGTCCAGCCCGGCCGTCCCAACCCGCCCAGGTGACAAGGATGAGGGGGACATGCAGCTGCTTCCCTCTCCACCTTCCCACCCCCAGGGCTCTGGGATCGGTCCCCTCCATCCCCCCGAATGCCTGCCCCAGATCTGGCACCCCCCAGGGACACCTCGCTCCCTGATGGGCTTTCTGGCTTTTGATAATTATTTTTTTCCTTTTCCTCCTCCAGAAAAACTCAAGCACCACAAAATCATCTTCGTGGTGGGTAAGTCTGCGTGCGGGTCCTATCGCTGGTGGGGTCAAGGCCACGGCCCAGCTCTTTCCCCCTGCACCCCTCGGGTGGGGGCTGTGGGGAGCAGCTGGTGCCCAGGGCTGGGGAGCTGGGGCTGGAGGCTGAAACTGTGGGACCTCGGCTGTCCCCAGGTGCTGTGGGGTGGCCATGGCTCCAGGAGGGCACCTCTGGCTGGGCATGGGGTGGCAGTGTCTGGGTTGATGTGACAGTACACCTGGGATGTGATGTCCTGAGTGCCAATGGGGTGGTGATGGCCAGGTATCAATGGGACAGTGATGTCCTGGGTCCTGGATGGGGTGGTGATTTCCTGGGTGTCATCAGGCAGCGATGTCCTGGGTGCTGATGGGGTCGTGACAACCTGGGTGCTACTGGGACAGTGACATCCAGGTGCTGATGGGGTGATGGTGATGTCCTGGGTGCTGATGGGGTCGTGACAACCTGGGTGCTACTGGGACAGTGACATCCAGGTGCTGATGGGGTGATGGTGATGTCCTGGGTGCTGATGGGGTCGTGACAACCTGGGTGCTACTGGGACAGTGACATCCAGGTGCTGATGGGGTGATGGTGATGTCCTGGGTGCTGATGTGGTGGTGATGCCCTGGGTGCCATCAGGGTGGTGGTGCCCACGTGCCAATTGCCAGCAGCCCATGCCACCCCCAAGCACTTTGGTGTCCCCCAGCCCATCCCAGGAGCAGCTCTCCCCATCCATCTGGTGCTGGGCTTGGGGATGCCAGCCCCTATCTCACTGGGCTCTGAGGTCTCCTGTGGGTCTGTGCTACCGCTTCCACGTACCCCTCCAGCTCCTTACCC